ATGCAGCTCGGTACAAGGCTGTCTTCACAAAAGCTTCCGGAGTGTACCTGTCTACGGATGACCTGAGAATACAAGTTATTTTGAAAGCGAGTATCAACATTTTTAAATGCTGGTGAGTTCATAAGTATTTAATGACATTGGTATAAATACATGTTTTTCTTCAAAATAATCTCATAAAAGATGGTGGTTTAGAATCTACAGAGTGTTAGAATTCTTTCCAGAAAAACCTATATTTTATAATAAAAGTAGTCTTCTACCAAGACACGATTGTCTTATGTTTAGGCAGATGAGTTTCTCTATTAAAAGCAGTCTTCTACCAAGACCCAACTGTTCTATGTTTAAAGAGTATTTTCCCTTAAAGGTACTATCATTATCAAGATATAGTGTTTACTTTAAAGAAATTGTGAGAAAAATCACAAGTAAAAGTAATAGGGAAAATAATATTTTACTTCAGCAGTAACACTGCTGGCTAAAAGTAAATAAAACCTAGACTCCAGGCGGGACGCCTCGCAAAGCCTAAAAGTAAATAAGACATAGACTCCAGGAAGGTATTAAATGGACAATACGCCTAGCAAAGTCTAAAAGTAAATAAGACATAGACTCCAGGAAGGTATTAAATGGACAATACGCCTAGCAAAGTCTAAAAGTAAATAAAACATAGACTCCAGGAAGGTTTTAAATGGACAATACGCCTAGCAAAGTCTAAAAGTAAATAAAAGGGTGAATGTGAACTCGTATGTAACCATGCTGATTGACGATCGAATACCTGATAACCCTCCAGGTCACACGTAGTATGGTGACATTATGTCACCCCTGGGCCTATTCGGCTCGGACTGTAGCTAGCAGTCGGGATGTGGGAGTGTCTGTCCCGTATAGATCTATACACATGATGTCCGCTCTCCCTCCAGGAGACTCTGGTTACAAGGTGATAGCGCTAGGAAGCGTCGTATCGGGAAGTAGTGCGTCACATTCTATTTATAGTATTAAAGTAATGGTATAGACTCACGAATGAACTGACTCCTGTGTAATTCTTCGTACTAGAGTGAGTAAATAGAATCTCTTAACTATTCCTATAATAGTTACTAGTATTTTAGGTATATGAATAATGGAAGGATGCCTTTGCTACCCAAAGGAAATGAACTGGCTGATAGAACTTTTATGACTATATATGTATACATGATATATAACTAATATTTAAACGACCTTCGGACGGATAACCGATACCCTAAAGCCACATCCAAACAAGGAAAAGGAATTAGAGCGAGCTAGCCTTTCTAAGTCCTTTAAACATTACTTATATAACTATACATATACAGGCATGCATTTGTCAATATAAAAGCATAAAAGAAATTTTTGGTAAAACCTTTGGAAAAGCTTTAATAATCTAAAAAAGGATATTCATACTTTAAAAGAGATTTGAAAACCTTTAGCTGGATAAAGCAGTTTAACATGCAAAAATCTATTTGCTATACAGTTATTAATCACATGTGATTGATAAAATAACTCTATAGTTCAACTTGTATTCCCCCCCCCCCCATAAAAGCATTTAAAATCATTTAAAAGGTTGATTCAGGGGTATGAACTCACCTGACGTGGGTGATTCGGATGAACGGATGGTATAGGATGCTAAGTGTCAAGTGAGGACTTGAACACACACGCGGATCCTATTTAACATGTAGTGATACATTTAAGTATCTAATTAGTCATTTAATAACTAATTATGCAAGTAAAAGACATCCTAATGCATGAAAACACTTTGCTACAAGTGCTAGGAGTACCAAGGGTTGCATATAAAGAGAGTATGGCCTCACATTGGAGTTTACTCCTCAAATGGTGGCCCTTAGGGGTGTTTACGGTTTCAGGACCACTTCCCCCATGAGTTTACGGCCGTAAACTCATGGAAGTGGTGCCATTGGGTGTTCAAAGGTCCTAAACCACTCAAGGAATTAAGCTAGACTCGAATCAAGGGCTTAGGAAGTGACTAGGGCTCAAAATGGACCCTTGGTGGAGTTTGCGGTCGTAAACACATGAGTTTACGGCCGTAAATTCATGTTTGCCCACCCATTTCGTGTTTTGGTGTTTCTAGGTTAAGCATACAAGGTTCTAGTCATTTATACAAGCCATAGGAGGTGTTAGGGGCACAATATCACCCCTTTATAGAGTTTACGGCCAAAGGACCATTTCCTTATGAGTTTACGGCCGTAAACTCTATGTGGACATGGTTTCTTTGATGTTTAAGGTCCCTAGTTCAATGGTGGTTGGTTCTAGGCTAAGTTCTGGGCATAAGGAAGGAAGAAAGGGCATCATTGCACCCTTAAAGGGAGTTTACGGCCCAAGAACATGCCTTGGCCGTAAACTCTCATTCTTCCATGGATTCTTGTTGTTTCTAAGTCCTAAACATGTTAAACCTAGTATACAACGAGTTAGAACAAGAGTACTTACGATCTAGGAGCTCGAATAGTCGATTTTGGCCAAGAACACTAGTGTGTGTTCTTGGTGTTCTTGGTGAAACTTGAAGATCTACACAAATGGAATGATTTCATGGATGAAATCATGTAAGATCACTAGACCAAGTAACATATCAACTAGTTAGGACAAGAAACTTACGAGTTTTGAAGATCGGGGACGAAGATCGGGATGATAGTTGAGAGGATTTCAGCCAAAGGAAAGGGAAGGAATGAACAAATGGCCACATTTCTCCATATAAAGTGGAGTTTACGGCCGTAAACTCCCATGTGGTGGCCGTGAACTCCAGGTCAAGGTGTTTCAGGCCCGTTCGTTGTACTATAGCTTCGGCATATAAACCCCGACACTTATCCCTTAAGTGTACAAGGCTCGGAACGCTCTAACAGACTCTAAATTGTGCTAAATGATAGCAGGAATAAGTCTGACACTAATTTGGGTTGACTGGCTGAGGTTTCAAAGCAATAGAAAATTTTGGGTTGTCACAGCAACTTGCGAGAAAATGTAAATTTGAAACAAACAGAGTGGTCGTTACCCCTTGAAAATGGTAATAATCAAATCATATACATGTATTCTGTTGTTATACAAGAGAGCCAATCGTAGGAGCTGATAAATGGAGAAACAAGGAAACGGTAGCTGGAATGAGACGCTGGAGCTTCTTCGCTTGGTGAGAGAGACTCAGCGCGTACGATGTCGTTACCCCTTGAAGTTGGAGGATTCAAGTTTCTTTAAGTGTGCACTCGATTTAAGTAGGCTGATCTCGGGGATGACCTAATTTGCCAACAGAGGGATTAAATTGAAATTAGGGATGGGAGGAGAGGAAATCGGTGATGGCTGGCTGGTAGAGGAATAGCATTGAAGTTACCGATTGAGGTGAGGCTAAAGGTTTTTTAGGCCGATCGTTTGAAGATAAAGTGGAGAGAAAACTAGGTTTTAGGAAATTAATGAATTACCATAATTAAACATGCAAAGATTACTATAATACACTTACATGATTTATTTAAAGATTTATTATTTCCTCAATTCTTATTGGTGCATACATGCACACAATAGTTGCTAGAAACATTTGAACCTAGCTCTCTCTCTCTCTCTCTCTCTATATATATATATATATATATATATATATATATATATATATATTACAAATTAAACATATATACCTTTCAGGGAAAATATAGTTATTTTAACATCATGTTCAGTCCCATCCCACTTCTACCAAACACTTCACAAATAAATAATTAGTCTAGTCCAGTTCAGTTCAGTTCCGTCCAGTCCAATCCAACATTGTTATGTCCAGTCCCAGTACAAAACGCTACCTAAAGACACTAAATTAATAAGTGTTGGACTGAACAATGAAGTGAAAGATTAAAGTCGGTAAAAGTCATAAATTTAAATTTCTAAACTATAATCCTCCAAATCCAAATATGCCTTCCAAACCACAGCAAATGTCGTCGCATCCCACCCCGCACCATTTCTTCATATAGACACAAAAACTTAAGGGATTTCCAACTTTCATTATGTAAGTACCCATAAATTAATGCATTAAATCAAACCTCTTGAGAAATACTCAATAACTGACTTCCAACATACTAAAAAAATAAAAGAATAAAAAAAAACCATAGCTAGCGTTCCAAGAACATAGTCTCTTTGAGGCATTCTATTGAACACTTTATGGGCATACTCCATATGCGAACACTTTATGTGCACCTAGATTAAACAATTTGTAATGAAAACAGTGGGTTCGAACTCAGATGCAATCATATGTGCATGCAATTCTTTTCCATGATAAGAGCCTTTTGATGTGAATATTGTTGGTATATGTGGGAGAGTGTCTTTTCAAATAAGTGGTCAACGGTCTGGCAATCATATGTTTATGTGAATATGGACCACCGAAAAGATCGCGGATTTCCTCAATCGATTTCTCTCTAAAACATGGATGATTTTGAAGGAATTTTAAATTTGTGCAAGACGATAGTAGCCGATGAAAGAAGTGGAGGTCGCTAGGTGGCAAAGTTTGCTAGTGGAAGCTGGAGAACCGATAGGGTGGAAGAAATATTTGTATTTATAGAAAAAATTACATGTTTGGTTCATATATTTTCTTGAAAGGGAAAATGTCATCATAGCCTGTTAAATATTAATGTTTGCTTTCTGGTCTGATTTAGTCCTTATTTATTTATTTTTGTGTAATAGGTCACTTATCTTTTATTTGATCTGTCAATTAAGCCAAATAGGTTAGCCGGTTTCCATAGCTCACATGGATATATTATTAATTATTAATTATTTTGTTGATCCACAAATCTAAACATCCGAGCATATACAAAAAAGCTAGGGTTTTTTTCGTGCACCATAGAAGCATCGAAACAAAAACGTTGATTCCAAATCATTATGGTCTGTATTGCATAGTGGAGCTCAACTATAATAATAGGGTATTTGTCCGTAATCCCTTCTCTTATGCTAATGGTTTTACATATACCATAGATGATAATGATGTTTCTACTCTCACCTACTCCGAATTTGTGACTTGGATTCAACGTTACATGCAAGAAGAGTTCAAGAAACTTTATTACTGTGATCCAGACAAAACATTAGTAGAAGGGATTCATCATATTGCTAATGATGTTGACTATGCAACTTTTATATTTGATGCCTACGGAACAGATGGAAAGATTTTTGTATATGTTGACCATGCTGGTGTTGAAATAGAAGAATGGTTTAGTGATGAACTGGATGAAGATGATAATTGTGATTCTTGCATAATGGGTGGGGATAATGAGGATGAACTGGATAACTTGATGGATGTTAGTGTTGATTCTACAAGTGAATATGTTGTTATAAAAAGAACATCAAATGATGACTTTTTGAGTAAACTATGTGCCCTAGATGAAGAGGACGACTTACATAACACATTAGGTGATGAGGGTGAGATTGACCCTTGTGGTAAGGAACATGACATATTCAATGAGTTGTTACATAGGATGAAGCAAAAACCAGTACTTGGTATGAGATTTAATAACCCGTAGTAGGTTAAAACCATGTTGTGCAACTATATTTTCAAACCCCAACTGGCGGTGGAAACGTCGGGCGGCGAGACGTTAGGATGTTGGATTATAGACAATGAACAATCATAGAATAGTAAAAACATTTGCATAACATAAATATCACTTCTATTTATAAAAGGTATGATTATATGTGAGTTTAAAAGGTCAACATAATGTTAGTGAGTTCACATGTTTTGATAAAGTAGAAAGTATGTTAGCGTTTTTGTGAAGGGTCTTTGTTTATGAGTATATTGATACATGTTCTTATTGTTTTTGGGTAATCTCTACACCATAACTCTTTTTTGGTTTGGGTAGTCTTGCTGAATACTAAGGGTACTTGATGTTAGTATCTTAAGTATATTCTCAAATACTAGGGTTGCATCTTCCTATTATCTCTTATTGTTTGTGTACTTATGTTGTATCATCTTGGGGTATTTATAGTTTTATTATGTACCATTAGATTCCTTGACTCTCATCCAGGAGTTTTGTAATGCCTGATTCTTGCAGGTAAATTCATTCCTTTTTTTCTAAAGTATTAAGAGTTGGATGTGTATCTACCCAAGGCGTAGATATCCTCTACGCGTCGCATAAAAGGAAACGTGATGACGAGGCTTTAATGATCTACGAGGGCATAGATCTTAGTACGCATACTGTACGCGGCCATAGCCCAAACCCTAATTTCGGGGTTTTGAGCCCTATTTAAGGACCTTAACCTTCATAAATCCCTTCCATTCTTAGCCTCCATTTCCCCTAAATGTCTCATTTGAAACCTTAACCCCATTTTAGTGCATTATGAGCTTAAAGAGTATTTTGGGTACTTTTGTGTGTGGGGTACTTTGGGGGAACTCAGTAAGCTTTGACTTACCGTTTGATTTTATGGTTTCAGGTATATTTGAGGATAGGGGCAAGGCGATGGCGTGATTGTGCACATCATCCTCGATATTTATTTTACTTATGATTAAGGATACTCTGATTGATGAACACTTGTGTGATTACAGACTTAAACTAAGGATCTGCAAAATGTTTTTCAAAATTTAACTCTAAAAGAACCAACATAAAGGATGTGATGTGTACAATCAGCCGAGGCCAATGAAAGTGATTCCCCAAGATACCCACATTTTTTTGTGTATTGATGATATATATAAATGCATGCTAGTATATAGGCTAGGGATCTTCAGGAATTGCATGATAGAATTGCCTGATGTATGATGCCTGATAGCCTAGGATAATCTTTTGTTATGTTATATAGAACTGGCATTATTACTGTGGTTGCTTAGTGTATGCATCATAGTTGTACATAACTTAGATTTTATAGCTTGAGAATGTTTTATTTATGTAACATTCGAGATTTGGTATGTTTCCTTTAACCCCCTTAATGCAAAATTCTTCTCATTATAGTCCCTAGCTAGTACGCGAGGCGTACTCTATGAGTACGCTAAGTGTACTAGCTCGTTTTGGATCGCGCATGCACCTATGTACGTTTGGCGTACGCGGGAGTACGCACGACATACTCAAGGCAGGGGTAAACCCTAATTTTTAGGGTTTGCACCCTAGTTAAGCAACTTATATCACCTTTGGACATTCTATTGATCAACCTCCATCACTCTCTATCCTAAAAATGAAACCCTAAGTATTATTTTGTGAGTTTTGAGCTTGAAAGTGAGGTTTGGTGGTGTTTTTGGTGAAGTAGAAGAAGAAGAACACTTGGAGGTTGCTTGGGAATAGCTTGAGCTTGTAGATCCAGAGTCATATTCATCTTAGCAAGTCATTTGAGGTAAAAAGCTTCCATCACGATGGTTCTTTATGCTAAATCTAACTTAGGGTGTTATTTATGCATTTTTGGGTCTTTTGAGCTAAAGTTGAGTTTATGGTCTACTCCAGAAGCCATGGGGGTTAGATCTTAACTCAAATGAGGTCCCTTGGCCATAAAAATGCAACCTTCATGAGTTATTTTGGTCCATGCAAGAGTTAGGTTCTTTGTTATGGTTCTTTTTGAGTTTTGGGCCTTATTAAGTCATACATGGGTATAAATTTGCCAACTTTATGTGTTAAGTCACCTTCTAGAATCAGATTTGAGAGTGTGACATGTTAGCTTAACCGAATAAGTGCTTAATGAGTTGGGTTGGCTGTCTGCGGAGTACGCGGGGCGTACCCAGCTTGTACGCTGAGCGTACCGGCTCCGGATGGAGTATGCCAAGCGTAAGTCTCAATACTCCCAATGTACTCAGCTATTTGACTTTTGGGTTGACTTCCTCGGGTTTGGACCATATTTTGGGCTTTTAGGGTTTGGGCCTTGTTGGGCCATTAGACTTCTGACTTTAGGTCATGGATAAACTATGGTCTTTCTTAGAATTAGGTCCATGATGATTTTTAGGCCTAATTTGGAAGTTGGTCCTTATTGGGCCTTGGGATGCCATTTAGGAATTTAGGCCTTTTGAGCAAATGGGTTGGGCCTTGGTTATGGGCCAAGTAAGAAAAGGGTAAAATGGTCTTTTACCCTAGATTTTGGACATGTAACTTACATTCTTGATTATGGGTCGAGATCCATTTATCAATTGGATATTATTTGATGATGTTAATACGGGGATTTTTCAGACCAGCAAACTGATATTTTACCTAAGAGATTCTGCAGCTTGAGGTGAGTTTCCTCACTGTGTTTAGCGGGTCAACGACACCAATTCCAGCCCATGTTTTATTATGTTTAGGATGCTAGTGGTCTGCATGACTCTTGCATGTACTATGTGTTTATATGTATACTGGGTGGGGCCCGATGCCCGGTGGGGTCTGATGATTATGTTGTATGATATTTATCGTTGTGATTTTTATGCATGTGTTTATATGTTGTATGTATGTCGGGGCGAGGCCTGATGACTGATAGATCTGTTCTGAGCGGGGCTCGATGTCGGGCGGGGCCCGATGATGAACGGGGCCTATTATATGTTTGATATGTATGGTATGTGGTATTTTGGGGAACTCACTAAGCTTTATGCTTACGGTTTTCAATTTATGTTTCAGGTACTTCTGATTCAAAGGAGAAGAGCCTGAGATGATTGCAGTGCACACACCACGCTGTTCCACATTTCATATTACTCTGATGTACTTGAATGTTATTAATACACTCTGATTCACTATGGTTTCTATGATGTTGTTTTGGATGATGGTTTTATTAATTTAAAAATCGAAATTTGCCTCGTATCTCCTCTCTCCTCCTCATTCTAGGGTTTCGGGTTTTGGGTGTGAGCCATTATAGAGGCATCATCCTTTTGGTGCTTACTTTCCAAGGAAGTTCAAGAGGATTTGATTTGATTATTTTCTGTAATAATCAAATGGTATGTAACCCTAATCTTTATGTTAATTTCAAGATTCATAGCCTCTCTCTAGGGTTTATTGATGTTCATAGTTTATTGTTATCAATAGAGAAAACATAGATTCTTTCTAAGTTGCATGTGAACTTATGGGTTTAACTGTTTTTTTGCCACATGATTTTTTTTATAACCTAGAAAACTCATCAATGGTATCAGAGCCTTAGCTTTCTAATTGATTGTGCATAATAATGAATTGATCAAAATTAGGGTTTATGGGAATTAAACCCTAATGGACTTAAATTTTTGCAAAAGGCTAGGGTTCTTGAAACCTTAGCCTCCACCCCTATTTTCGAAAATGCTAGGTTTTCCCTTAGGGTTTTTAGTTTCCTTAATTATAATTTCAAATGCCTTAAAATTTGGATAATTAAAAACCTAGTAACCCTAATCCCTTTATTTTCGAAAATCAGAAGGGTTATTGGATTATGATTAAATTTGAATTATTTTATTAATTGGTTAATTGAAGATAATTATTTAATCCCTAATGATTTAAATTTGAATTATTTATTAATTGTTTAATTGAGGGTAATTATTTAAATCCTTAATGATTTAAATTAAAGGATAATTGGTAAATCATCAATTGTTTAAAATTAAGTAATTATTAAAAGTTTAATTCGAAAAATTAATTTTTAACCCTAGTATTTCGAAAAGTTTTAAAAATACACATTATACTATATATTATTAAAAGTTTAATATATTATATGTATAATACAAGTCAGTCAAATTGCTAGTACGCCTCATTCACGAAACCATACTATAATGGGGTATAAGGAAGCGACCTATAAAATGGTCATTGAATGGGTGTCCACTCTCGCCCACCGCTCCCTTGTTTGGTGGACGATCGTTAGTCGAACGGATTTGATAGGACATAACCTCTTAAAAGTATAATGTTATTAAAGTACTAGAACCTTTTATATAAATCCTAACTCTGTTTACATTAGAAAAAATGTGAAGTGTATGCTAATCCACGAAAACGCACATCGTTTCTTTATGAGTCGTTAGTGGAGCATGTGTGGCTAACCGAAACACTAATCTGGGACTATAAAGATGAAATGATGAAACAACTCGTGTTTATAACTATTGATGGAGAGTGTGCGGTTAACCGGCACATCAATGAGAGATTATAAATCGATCGAGGGTGTTTGAGCGGGTTTGCATGGTTATTCACATCTTAATTGTGATCCTCAACATCCCAGTCACATTTGTTAAAAGAATAATCGAGATTAAACATGTCCTTGATAAGATTCAATGAATCTCAAAAGATCTAGGAGTTTCATGTGATTGAAATTTGTGAAATGATTCTACCTACCTAAAATAGATTCGAATTTGATTACGACATCCATCTTCAAAGGTCGAATCGAAAATATAAATCCTAGTCTTAATTTAATTATGGGTTAATAACTAAGGATTAAAATCAACGAATGTCACACCCTAAAAACTGAAAAGGCGGAAACGTTCGGGGGTGGAGGACGTCATGTGTAGTATCACAACAATTGATTCATATTAATCAAAGTAAACACAACCATTACAATATAATATGAATAATTACATCTGTTTGTTTCATTGTTTGTGCACATCAAAAGTATAGCAGAATATAAAAGACGTGTCGATATATGCTCC